CTTACACACCATAAAGCAAGCCCCCTTCCAAGTGCTGTTTCCCAGCCCTGCAGCTCACACATTTACTGAGTTTAATGAAAATTGTTCTGTGTCATAGGACATGACAAGCAACATATAAATATATATATTTAATTCTCCTTGCAAGTGTGACTACAGCAACTGCAGTTTGCTTCAAAACCTTGCACCTGCCCTTTATGACGTGCTTTTGTCTCCCATTTCAACTGGCAAAAGAACAATCTGGGAGCTTGGTCCTTCTCTGGCTGCTTCTGGGTAAGGCAGTCGCCTTTCCCGGTGCAGTCAGGAAACCACCTTAGCTGTGCCTTTGTCTTCAGACACTGGGGGATTCCCTGCTTTTCGGTGTTTTACAGTTCCACCCAGTGCTAAAAAAGCAGCGCAAAGAGTGCTGCAGATGAGCAGGAAACCCAGAGCCTAACATTTTGCACTCACACAAAAACGACCTGGTGGCTTGGCAGGAGGGTAGGTGTGCTTTCTTAGCTTAGAGTTTTCTGAATTTTACAGAAGCCAAAAGATGTTTTCAGTGTCTCTATATAGACTGCTGCTGAGATAAAGATTGACACCCCGAAAGATGTTGGTGCAAGCGGGTGTAAAGATAGTGAAGAAGTGTTGGGCAGGGAGAATTCAGGCAGCAACCCAAAACCGTGGATGTGGCAAGTGAGAAACTGCCAGAGCTGGTCTCTCTGTCACCCTGCCCTTTTGTCTTTTCAGTGTGGTAAATGTTAGCCAGTTCCTTTTCAGATGATACTTGACAAAAGCAGACAAAAAGCAAACCAACACAGTTTGCTTCCTCATCACCACAACATCCTGCATTGCCCAGCCCTGCAGTTATGTCTTGCTGGCCTCAGGGGCATAAGCACGGAGCTGAATTGCAGGAGGCCTGGACAGGAGAAACCCACCGTGCTTATCCTTCTGCAGCTCAGCTTCCCAGAACGATGCTATGCTGCGTGTGGTTTGAGAGGAGACAGCTACAAGTCACAAAAAGGGAAGTTCTGATAAAATCTAAGAAAAAAAATAAAATATACATATATACATATATATATATGTATACATATATATATATGTATATATATATATATATACGCACAAAGAGAGTGGTTAGGCATTGTAACAGGGATGCAGAGAGGCTGTGGAATCTCCATTCTTGAAGAATTTCAAAATCCAAGTGGGCAAAGTCCTCAAAGACCTGATCTAACTCTGAAATTAGCTCTGCTCGAAACAGAAGGCTGCACCACGTGGCCTCCAGAGCTTCCTCCCCGTCTCACAATTTCTATAAAGCTGCAATTCCAAACTTGCTTTGTTCCAAAATGGAAGAAAACACAGACACAAAGTTGTGATGCTTCTAGCAAAGCAGAATATTTTTTTTAACACAATCAAACCATTTCATGCTGATTTCAATATTATGTTTGTATGTGTATAAAGAGATGTAGAAATTTTGTTTTGTTTTGTTTAAACAGTGACATTTATTTCATTGTTAATTCTTCAAGAAATAATATGAAATAAATACAATCAATTCATCTTATCTCTTTTGTTTGTTTGTTTTCTTCAATGCTAAATTGAATTGACACATTCTGGGAAGGGTTGGGGGATCATGCTTGGTTTTGTAGGAACAGCACGTTCCAGGGAATTTTTGTCCCATAGGAAAATTTATCTCCTTGCATCCGGTAATTGTTCTATTTTTCACTTTGAAAAGAGCTCAATTTTGATCAGTTCAGATTTCCTACTCTGGTTTACATTTCTTTCCAACAGGAAGAAACATCTGTCAACATCTGAGCATTCTGCTAGCAATTGGAAATGTAATCCCACACGCAATATTTTTTCTTTTTCTAGCACATTGCAAGAATGGAAAAGGGGCATTTTGAACACATTAGGGGTATTAATATGACTGTGTTTCCCATACTAGGCATTGTTGAATTGCCATGGCAATTATCTCCATGGAGATTTCTAAAATATTGATTCCTGGGTACAACTGTAAATGTTTTTGCTGTTGAACAGACTTGTCTGGAGAGCCCTAAATCTGTTGGTAATATGTGTGCCTTGGTGGCTCTGGGTTTCAAAGGAATTAGAACCAGCTTGGATGCAATTTTGGTTCTACATTTCTGAGTTTGGAACTCCAAAAAGTTTATTTTAATTCACTTGCACAGTTTTCATTCACCATTAAAGTTTGAATTATTCCATTTACTCTAGGTAAAAGAAGTTGACAAGGAATGGAGTGGCTCAGTATTTATGCAGCTGTTAGTATTTAGTGTAAATATCCAAGAAGACCAAGAATGCAGAAAGAAGACCAAGAATGTATAAAGTCTTATAAGAGATAGGCTTTCATATTGCGATTTGCAAGCAACCAGGATTTCAAGGACTACTTCTAAGGGATCCATGAAACACTACTAAGGAAATCAATACCAACTGATGGTATTGGGCTTAAATGCGCTACATAGGGACCACACATCTAATAGAAAACCTATGGTTCAAAAATGACTGAAAACCTCTGCCATGGAATAGATTCGCAGCTAAGTATGAGAGTATCATGTCTCATTTTTGCAAATGATTTATTTCACAGCAATCAAGCAAGGAGGGAGTGAGATCCCGTCATACCAGTGTGGGAAGAAGCAGGCTCCAACTCTATTTTTGGCTCTGCCACGTAGCTATTGTCTGGCTTGGGGCACATTACTCTCCTTCTCCCTTCCTCTGTCCCTCCCCAGCCTTTCCAAGTCTTTCTTTTTTTTTTTTTTTTTTTTTACAATATAATTTCTCCAGGATAGGGGCTGCATCCTATTCTATGATTTTATGATTCTATTATGCGTTTATATGACTGAGCACAGCAGAGCCTCCCTTCTGATTAGAATATTAATAGCAGAACATTTCTGTAATCTTTCTGCCCTCATAATCCCATCTATTTGTATTGCTTATACACAGTTGTCACTTCCTTAAAAACAAAACAAAACAAAAAACATTTGATTGTGATCATTTTATATGCTCAGGTATCATTCTCTTGTCTTCTGCCTCTCTGATTTCACTTTAGCGCCAGGAACCCATCCCTTCCAGGAGCTCTGTGAATTTTACAGACTCCAAGAAATTGAACTAGTGATTTCCTTAGACACTTTCATTCTGTTTGCTGGGAAGATAATTTTTCCTTGAAATAAATAAATAAATAAATTATATGTTAAAAACAAATAACACAGTAGTTCAGAAAGAGGACTCTCTCCCTAAACATGTCAATCAAAGCCTTCAGCTTTGTAAACCCTGCAAACTCCTATGCTACCTCTGTTGGGAATGACCTGCAGGAGTACTGCAATTAGCTGCCTAAGTCATCCATGGCCCGTGATGTACTGAGCTCACTGTGAAAATCCTTCTTCTGGGAAGCCTCTCCCTTGTTTACAGCAATCCACTGCCTTCTGGAAGAGCCTGCAGAATTGTCCTGGCTATTGGAAATGTGATCTGAGATGTCTTCATGATCATTTTTGGCATCATGAGGGTGTAGCAGCATGGGCTAGGGACCACGAGGATGCGTCCCCAGTTAGTGGGAACTGTTCACCTGGCTCCTGTGTCACACAATGAAGTTACTCCTTGAGTCTAACTGCCCTAATGAAAACGGGTAATAAAAGTTCAGTAACACATCTCACAGAGAAAAGTTTTCCTTTGTGGCTCTGAGCCACGAAACAACTCCAGAAAATCTCAAGCAAATTCACAATTAGGGGTCAATTCTTTTTCTCACTAGGAACTCAGATTAGAACTGCTATGTGCTTTACATAAAAGTATAATTTACTTCCTTAAAATCAGATGCTAATGGTCAGGAATTTATTAAATTGATCACATCAATTTTCTAAGCTTCTCCTTGCTGTGAGAAAGCATTTAAACTATTTCAGGCCTGACTGCTTCAGTCATTTGTGTAGACTTTTATGCTACCAGCAAATGTTAGCATGGGGCCATTTTAGGAAATCATCACGTGGTGGAGTGAAGACAAATAGCTCTCCTCTCCAGCCACTAAGCTGATGTTTCACAACCACTTTCTTGGCTGGTGATATCTTGTTAGACTCTTCAATCCTTCCAGTGCTTTAACGAATAATTATTCACAAGGATTCACCTGTGCAGCCATGCCCAGTTCCCTGCTGCAAGGTCCAGGAGAAGTGACTATGCTGAGTGCCCCTAAAAAAGCACCATTTCCTTTTCAGGCATCTTCCCACTGCTTCTGGATGGACGCCCTGGTTCAGTGATCATTAATGCCAGTCCTCGGCACTGCTGATCTGCCAGGATTACACATTTGATGTGGATCAGACATCAGCACATGGCTGTATTTCTGTTGAATTAGCTACAGTCAGAACACGATGTTTACGCTAATTTTCCACAGCCTAGACGAGGTCAGGAAGATTCTGATACAGTAAAACACTTAGAGCAGTTGTGGCAGAAGATGCTTCATCTAGGAGTGAGACTTCTGGCCCAACATAAGCTTGTCATTATTTTTTAATACATTTGAATAGGAGGGTTTGCTTACTTTGGATCAGTGCTCTGTGTCATGACTTTTCTGATCCGACACGAGGAGCCCTTAAGCTGGATTTATTGGACTGTTGAATCCTGTCCTCAGGGATTTGCGAGAGAAGCGAGCTGCTGCCAAGTGCCAAAGATTTAAAGGCAATTTAGAAGTGAAATCTTGGCCATACTGAAGTCAACAGCAAAACTCTATTCTGTTTTGGAAGAAAAGAGATGATTGCTGAAATGTGAACTTCCTGCAGGAAGATGTGGAGCAGGTTCAGTGTGGCTTACATTTCTGGTCTGAACCTTGAAGGAGAAGAGCACTCACCCAGAGCCATTTCTCCCGTCTCTCCCTCAGATTCTTTTCCTAAACATTTGAAGGTCTCAAGATTCATTCCATTGTGGAATGAAAATATTTTGGAAGAGGAAATGTAATGTGTCTGATATACAACTACAGGAAGCAAAAAGCAGCCCCACTAAGATACAGCCAAGCATTTAATTTGGTTTACATACCAGTTTCTGGTTGCTCCCTCTCTCTAAATACCCGCAGATAAACCCCTGGGTCCGAAGCCCTGCACAGCACTTCATGACTTGGGCCATTCAGCAGAATGAGGAGCTTTCCACACACCCCACTGAGATTTAACAGAACTAACAAGGACTGTAACAGGACTTCTTTTCTACTTATGCTGCAAATTCAAGCAGGTATGATTTTCATTTCAAATTTTAAACAACTTCGGATTATAACAAAACAAGTATTGACATTCCTAGCAAATTCTCTATTGCCAACTTTTCAGAACCACTAGGCCAGCTGAGTTACTTTTTAATGTTAATTTGGTTCCAACATGCATTTTCTTTTGACCAATAAATTATCCTAGCTAGAAAATGATTTGTATTAGTAGAGTGCACTGGTTGACTCAAAGACAAGATAATTACCAAATACAATTCAAAAAACCTTTGCCTACATGAAAGAAGCTGGAAAAAAAAAAAAAGTGCTATCTCTTTTTAAACAAAATTGCCTGTTACAGAGGTTGGTACTTTATTCAACATAAAACAGAATTTTAATGAAATGAAGAAGGAAAAGAGAAAACAAGAATGTAAAGGAACTGGGAGAAAAAGAAGAAAAACACATTAAATAAAATTAGAAGTCTAAAGGACAGATTGGGTATTTTTTTTCTGTATCATTTAAAAGTGTCCAGGGGAGATTGTGGTAATGGTGGCAGATGGAAGAAGAAAGAAGACAGAAGTGACTTGTGCTCTGTCCAATCCTCTGCTGCTTTAAGGGAATTTCTGCACAGTTGCAGCAGGGCTCTCATGCCAAGAAGAGGAAGTTCTGGATCCAAACAATTTCTACGCAGCTACCACAGACTCCCTTGTAATTGTGCTTGGGAGCAAGGAAAAATCAAAGCCACAGCCTGAGCAGACCGGGCTGAGTCGTGCTTTCAACTTAGAATATCTACATGCAGAACATATAATTTCCAAAAATAGCTTTAAACACTAGGCTGATATAATTCTGCCTCTGTGTTGATCTCTTCCAGATTACACATGTGGATATGCATTATGTACGTAAATTTATGCTGGATACAATTAATTACATCAATTACACGTGCTTATGGGCATAAACACGTGTGTGTCATTGCAAAGACCAGGGAGAGGCCCAGCAGAAATTCTCACCAAAATCTTCTGGTCCCACTTCAATCCGACAAAGCCTCTTTGATAGGACATCTGGCAAAGTCTTTTTGCAGATTAGAGCCACTTGTTCCGGTACGGGACCATTCAGAGATGGGAAGCACACCCAGGCCTAACTTCTCAGGCCCCAAAACTCAGGATCGCTAAAGGAATTCACCTGGAAAAGGAAAAGAAAAAAATATGAGGCACCTTTTCCATAAACGTGTGTGTAGTAAATGCCTGCAAAGAGTCCAATCATTTTCAGGGTCATTCCGTTAAACTTCAGTGTAAAATCTGCCTAAAAAAGCTTTAGGATCTAAAAATTCTTACATGAATTCATATCAGTATAATGAATGCCAGGTTGTCATCTGTGTTTCCTGACATTGCTTGTACAGGATAGAAAATTATAACATCACAGTTATAATTATGTTATCAAAAGCAGTGGATATTATGTGCTAGCTGGGTGCCTGCTCTTCGCTCTTATTGTTCTTTCCTCATTCAACCTTTCATTTATCCAGCATTTGGGAAATGAATAGCATACAAACCAAGCAACGCTTCCCGTCTGACATTCCTCCAAAGCTCAGTATGGTTTGATCCATTTCTGAATGTGCCTTTAGCTCTAGGTCAGACAAACGGCGGTAATGACAGCTTTTTAGACTCATTTCAGCATCTCACATAAAAGCAGATTTAAGTCCCCATGTTTCACAGTACATCACTTTTATGGGCTGTGTGGCAGGTCTGGGCATTCCCGAATTCTCTGCCTCTCCGCCAGCCCTTTTCTAAGCCACTCTTCTGATAATAAGTAAAAAAGGAAAACATTCAAATAAATACCTGGAGATTTACAGAGGTCTAGGAATGAAGTGGATTTTTTATTTTTATTTTATTTGTCTTTTTACAGGGAATCACTGAATAGTTTGTGGTTTAATCACTACACAGACACAACACTCAAAACCTTCCCAAGCTGCGTGCAGTTTACACATTTGGGTTGTCCTGTATTTTGCAATGACCACCTCTAAGAGACCCATTGAACGTTAATTTCCACATGTCTTTATGGATGTAAAATATTAATATATAATCCTATAATTCAAGTGATGGAGAAGATCTGTGGATGCGTTTGCCTATTTAAGCTTCACAAGCCAGGAATGTAGCCATAATTAATTCTCTGAAAACAATAAAAAGATTCAAAGATGTCATTAGAGGCATAATTTTGTCTAATGAACCGTCATTACAACATAAATCTTCGCTTGGCTCAGAAATTATTGCCAGTTTGCACCTGAGTCTAGACTTCCCTTGTGTCTGTATCAGCAAGGAGATAAATGGGTCCAGGCTTGGGGCAACGAGGTGAGACCTCTCTGGTGGAAGGCCAGGCCTGTGCTCTGCACTAATGCATGCTGAGAGGGCTTTTATTTGCCTCAGGGACTGTGAAACATAAGTTTTGTTCTAAAAGGACCCCAACATATCCCATGAGGATGGATGGAGCTTTGAGATAGAAGAAAATATTTTTAAGAGCCAGTTAATTCAAAAGGAGTTTTGAACAGGAACAAAAAGCAAGCATATATGGACTCTGACTTCAAGCAGGTTTCTCACCCAAACACTGCTCGGATGTTTAGCATCTGGGAGTTGACCTACTAAAAATTTATCCATGACCTGGTGACTGAATTGGGTTTTCAAAGCCGATCTGGAGTCTAGTTGGGGTGTCCTGGCCAGGCAGATACAAACCCATCCATGCCTTAACTGGTGCCAGTTCAGGGTACTGCAGTGGCTACATGTATAACCCCTGTGATGTTTACATTCTCCCTCCACTTGTCTCGGCTTTAACTCTGCCTAATTATCAGCTTTACAAAATGCCTCGGGGACATTCCTCTATCTGGGCAGCACCACAGCAAGGCAGTGTTGGGTAGGTCTCCTATAGCATCAAAGCCAGAGTAGAATTGAGGAAACAGCATTTAACCCTAATTTGACACGTTATTAAACTCAAAAAGGACAAGGAAAAGCATCCTAGTGAAAGGGGGCCACAATGAGTGGTTTTAATCCACAACCTGCCAGCAGTAAATCAGCATTCAGCACACTGAAGAAGGAATGGTTTTCTTGTGCTGTGCCACTTCAAAACCAGCTCTTGAGAAAGCGTTTCGAAGCATGCAGAGAATAGCTGAAGATCTTGAAAGAAAGGGGTGCATTCAAACCAGCTCTTGGCTCTTGCAAAGTTTTTAGCTTTCTATGACCTCATGTCCTCCTGTTCTTCTATAACCACCATCCAAAAAGAAATATTTTCATCCAACTGGCATCCCATGTAACAAAATAAGCCAAGATCTTTGTGAGACGTACAGTGCTGACTGGTAAGCTGGGCATTTTTCTGGGATCTGGGAGCTCCTAGCTCTGATTTAGTCCCTCATGTGACATTTATTCCCAGCATGGTGGCATTGGCAAGTCACAAAGGGCTGCACCAGGGCTGGCTCTGGCCAGGACTGGGTAATTATAAGGGAGACAAGAATCCAGGAGGGGTGAGAGTAGGACAAAACAACCATGAGCTCACTGCCCCAATGGAAGGATTAGTTTTTCTGTCCCATCCCTCTTCTGCCCCTTTACCTGACAAGAGCATCCTCGCCTGGACCTCATTTACAGAGTGGCGAAATTCACTTTGCCTTGCTACAAACCTCGGACAGATCCAAGATCCAGCTCATTTCCATTGTTTTGATTTAGCTTAACATCAAGTCTTTAATTCCCCTTAAGCTTTGAGTTCTTCCATGAAATTAAATCACTTAGTTATCTGTTCCTGATAATTTTCTTCTTTTCCCTCCCTAGGAGATGAAGTGAGATTGTATCTGTAAAGCCCTTTGAAGATGTAAAAGCGCTTATTACTATATTCTGAAAGGCAGCAGACTCATAAAGTTGAGTACAAATACTAAAAAATAGACCCCCCCTCCTGCCCTCCTTTACCACTGGAAGCTGGGTCCTCCTGAGCCTGATTTTGCTGTGGTTATCACTGACAGGACAAAAAGAGGCAGCCTCTAGTGTGAGATCTCAGCTCATTCCCAGCTGAAGTCATCCTCTGGGATAGAAAGCTTTCCTCCCCAAAGCAGCAAGGGTGCTTGAAGAAGCCTCTTCCTACAACTCAAACACATGCATGTCCCTCCCACCAGTCTGACTTGATGCAAGTTTCTGGAAAAGGAAAGGTATGCCCTGATCTATAAGCTATGACACCAAGAAGTGTCTTCTCTCCATCACCATAAGATGTATTTAATGACATTGCTTGATGACGAATGGCACCTAACTGGTGATCCTGTATACCCTCAAAGTGGGCAAGAAGTCTAATGCAGGACTACATGGGGTTATGTTTCTCTGCAGGCAGCTGATTTCTTCTTTCCCTTCTCCTTTCCCCAGCCATCAGCTTCACACTCCTCTCAGCTCCTGAATCACCACTTTCTGGCTTTGCATATGTAAGTAAATCTCTCTGATTTCACAACTCGAATATCATGGCCTGCAAATTACAGCATGATTCAGGATGCTGCTTCACATGCTGTCCCTCCTACAAGCCGACTGATTGCTGTGAGGTAGCCAGGCAGACTGCTGCCGCTCAGTGCTTCAGGTTGGTCTGTCGGTACTGAGGAGTTAACACCCCAAAGGAATGGGAAGGAGGCACAACAAGGAGCTTTTACAAATTTGGGTCAGGAAGAGTCATAACGAACACCCAGCAGATGGATTTCCCTGTTCTCCAGTCTGGAGTAATTGAAGAATTATTGTGCAATTAGTGGCAAGATAATATAGAGCAGAAAATAGATTCAGGGTAGATGTCAAAATTGGGGAGGAGGTGTTGAAGGTAGGGAAAGGGCGTGTCATGCTGGCACATGGTTTATGTACTTTTATCTCCTGGATATAATCTATTTTGGGAAAGGTTCCTCCCCAGTCACTGAATGTCCCGAGTCACTTTGGTGACCCTTGCCATCTGGGCAAGATTTCAGTCAAACCAACCAGAACAATAGAGAAGCCTCAATTAGAACTGATTTTCATTGCTCATATGATACGTCTTGCTGACCTTTCAGTGAATCTATTAGCACTGGTCACTGTGACACTTTAATTTCCCCAAACTGCAAGGAGAAACTAACAACCAAAGGGCCTCCGCTGAGCTCTCCAGCACTGTGCAGTGAGGGTGCAGCTGGGCTGCAGCCAAGCTACAGCCCCCAAACCACATCGCAACAGCATCCACAGCGCATCACTTCATCCCTGAACTCAGTCTAACAACATAATTTGACGTTGTAGAAACTCACAGTTATCAGGATCCTTTTACAAACCTTAGAGAGTACAGCAAAGGAACAGCACCATGTGCAGAGCTTTGATTCGGACGTCCTGCACCTTCTTTGTAAAGAGCTTTTCTAGAGAATTAGATCTCTCGGGAGTGCTTCGTGCTTCTGCCACAAAATCAGGTCAACTAATGCTTTTACAATTCAAAGAACCTCTTCAATCTGATTATTTTTCGCCACTTGAAATTACACTTTGAAACTGCTCTTACAAACGAACCTTCTGAATTGATGAATTGATGTGAAAAATTAACTCGAGTGCCTGTCAGAGCAATATCCGGACAGTCAGCTGCTGCTGTGGAAGGAACAACTGTGCTGAGCCTAGAACAAGAAACACCAAGACCTCCTTGGTCCCTTTTTGCTTCTAAGCAGGAAATTGTGTGAGCACAAATTAAGGAACCAAACAGGGAGCTCTGAGATCTGATCTCTGCCCAAACACCAGGCACGGCGGGGCTGAGTCTGCACTGCTGGTTTGAGCAGTTCAGAGGAATACGCATGGAGCAGGTGGTTCACAGACCTTAAATTCGAGGATATGGACAGAAAATCAGCACCTTTCTCATGCAATGTAAACAAAAAGAAGCCAACAAGAGTAGAAAAGGTGTTGGTTTTAATTCTAGACCAGTGATAAGGGATAAGGAACACAGTTCTTTTAATTTTCTGTCTCTATGGTAACTGCATAACAGGGCACTCACTACATGCATTGCTCACTGCTTTTACCATCGCACGAGACATACTCATATCTTCTACATGAACTCCAACATACGTTGAGTTCACTGCATTAACACACAAAAGACAAGAAGATGTGGAAGAAATGGAATTAAAATTCCCAATTGCAGATGTCAGCTTTGGAGCTCAGCAGACCCGAGCAGTCTCTTTTCACTCACTGGCTTTATCAGTGGGAAAGCAGTGAGTGGGAGGAAAATATTCCCTCTGGTGCAAAAGGAGCTCTTTGTGGGTAACACAAGATGTTTTTTGGTCTGTGCCAGAGATGTGTCTACTTTCTGTCACCTGTACCAACTCTGTTTCAAGCATGGAGATAAGAAGTTGTCGATTTTGTGTCTCTGAGCAATGATTTCACCCTGACAGCACACAAAGGCAGATGTGGGATGTGATCACACCACCTAACAAGCTTGGAGAGAGTGGACGGGATGGCCTCAGGCCTTCCTATCTGAGCTCCCACTGCATCTTTTTGAAATTCAAGGGACTTGTCTTGACTTCCACAGTGCCTAGATCTGGTCCTAAGGGAAAAATTGAATCTGCAGATAAGTCAGCTCACAGCATCTCAGCTCTTTTCCCTGACACAAAGGTGGCATCTCGCATCCTCTCACTGACAGAGATAGAAGGAGAGGATGTGAATGAAATCAAACTCAATAGAAGCAGAGTTACAGATGGATGCACCTGTAATGCTGAAAGGAAGGAAATGGCTCAGGGTGATGAGAACCACCTCGGCTGTGTCTAACCTTTGGTGACAAAGCATACGACCTGGGAAATCCCTGGAATGGCCAGGAAGGACTTTTCAGTATAATCCCTGTTTTCTTATGTAAATGTGAGAAAAGTGGACGAGGCCATTCCAGCATGAAGAAAGCCTAACCATATAAAAATATTATTTTTATCTTTTTCTTCTCTTTTCTTTCCTGAATGATACTCTGATGCACATTGAGGTAAGCTCTGATTCACTCCAATTCCAGTAACTACTCTCCCCACACTTTTATTCCAAGTTAATATTACAAAGTTTAATAGTTACCATGTGTGTGACAGGCTATCAGCTCATCAAAGATAAAAGACTGGAGAAAGACAATGTCAATGTTGTCATTATCATTAAGCATTTCACGATGATGAGTTCTGAAAAGGGCACCATGAAAGTTTCTTCCTATACAACACTCAACAGTGGCAGTAACACTGTGGGCTTTTAACCATGTTTTTGTTAGATGCTTCAGTATGCATTTCCCATTAACTAAAGTCTCTCTTCTCAGTGTTTCTCCTTTCTCAGTTCCTCTCTGAGGAAACTATTGCCCTTCCCAGGCTGCTTGTGTTGTTTCAAGTCTGGGCTTACACAGAGAAAGTGGTTTACACAACATTTGGGCCTTGGAGAAAAACAGTCTTCTGTATCTCTTTAGTGTCTCAAGACTGAAGCAAGAACCTAGCACAAAAACAAAAGCAAAATGAAGCAAAAATGACAATGCCAGGAAACAGACCGTGTTCAAGGCAGATTAATTTGCAAGGGGTTTTTCTGCTTGTCTTTCCATTGAAGTACAGAGGAAATAAAAAACAATTAACCTACTTAATTTACTCATGACCTGAAACCAGTAATAAATCATTTTGGAAGTGAATTGAAAGTGTTTGCATAACCTCTCCTTAGTTCTCATAACCATGCCTGTCCCTGGAAAACACCACAGTGGGCTCTGCTCTGGTGGGACAGACGGTCAGACACTCGCAGGGTGGCTGCAGCAATGCAGCATAGTCACTGTACTGAGTCCTCCCCGAAATCACAGGCGTGCTTTATTCAAGGTATTAGACTATAACTACAATGAACTTGTGTGGATTGCAAACAGTTTTAAATATATAATGTCCTTATTTCAAGGAATTAGTGACCTCAGTTGGCTCCACCATTCATAGCTCATAACGCTTTTGCTAGTAACAGAGAGAAGGAAATGTTATTTTAAAAACTTTGGGTCAAGTTCACCTATGGCTAATGCACCAGGGAATAATCTGTCCCACTTTGTGCAGCTCAATTTGTTTGACTGTTCACACAGCGACTGTGCCTGTATCTGAGCAAGGAACAAGGCCTACACAGGCAAACATATATAATTCATGGACTTTACTACACTAACGAAAATGCAGTGGCTTTGTGGCAGTGACACGATGCAAAACAATGAGTTTTTACTGTGAATGGCTGCAGGTCACATCAGGCGTTACAACTAAAAGAGTGAGAGGGGGAATGTCAGCACAGCTGGGACACTGACAAGACTGGATGTTTGTACACTTCCTCTTGACAGTGCCTTTGTGCAATTTCCTCTTTCTAGCCCCAGACCTTGTCCTTTCACCTCATTGCTCGTCCTCCGTTCTCTTTTGTTTTGCCCACTGGCACTCTGCCTTTCCCCTCTCCTCCCACTGAGCTTTTCCATACTCTCCTGCTACATCCTTCAGCTGCAGCAGCTTTTCTCTCCCTCTCCAGCCACCTTCCCACTTCCATTCCATCCTTCTTCAAATCTGGGGTTTTGACATCAATTTGGCATCAACATTTAGTAAAATGTTTTTGATGAAAGCATACACTGTTGTGTGAGCCATGTCATGCACGTATTTCACACTCAGAGCAGGCTGAAATAAAGGTGTGGAAGAAAGCCTGGTTAATTTAGCTCGTGTTTGGTTCAGCTGATGTCCCCAGGCTGATCCACCAGATCTGCTTCATCCCCTTGCAGTCTCCTCAGGCCACTGCCTCATCTGGGGAACTGCATAAAAAAATCAGAATTAATCTTCGTGTGTGTTTTGTTCTGTGCTGAGCACACTAGTCTGCACTGAGTTTTCCTGGAGTACATGGAGCTCCAGGAACCTCGGGTGTGCTGCAGTTTCTGCCTGACCAGCAGGAATCAGGAAGAACAAGGTGCAAATGTTCAGCTGAAGTTTTGAGTAATCTTACAGAGTATTTGGCAGAATGATGAGCACTCTCCAAAGTCAGAGAGAAATGCCAAGAATTGCTGGTGCTGTGACCACATTGCTGACTATGCACATATGCTAAATACCAGATTGAATCTAATAGATATCTGATATATATCAGCAAAATATTTTTAAGTAGATGCTGTAAAATACAAGCTAAATTTACTAATTTCCCTCCCACTTTATCCCTACAAAGGGATTTTTAAGTTTATAAAGATACCACAAGACCTGCTGCATCCCCAGTGACAGATAACATGGATGAAACACGGAAAGCCTTTAAGAATGCCCATAAGAGCAGTTGCTCATTTAGGATCTCAGAGCCAGAATAGCATCCATTTGAAACAAGACGACGAATTTAGGTCAGGAGAACATAATTACCCACGCTGGAGTGTGTCCAGGTTACCTGGATTACTGCTGCTAAAAAAAGCAGAACGGGACCATCAGTGAGCACAAGTGATTAGGATCTGCGTTTAGCAAAAGCTTTTAAAGATACTAATGCGAATTAACCATCCCATTCCAACCAACTTTTGGTATGAGCTGGGCATCTGCTTCATTAAAATCTCTGGGTTACGCTGTAGCATTCAGCTGGTGCTTTCTGGTTAGTCACAGCAGTAAATGAAATTTATTTTTCCCTAAGCTCTAAATACAAAAAAAAAAAGTAACATAACATAGAGGTCTTCAAAATAAAAAAATAAATTAAAAAATGCTACTAAGTGTGAAACAACTGACAGCTAGACACCTCTTTTTACCTTTTATTTTTGGGCCCTCTGTGGTCTCAGTCCTGCAAAGAACCTCCAGACTGAACAGGATTAAGGGCTCTCATTCCTATGAGCCATAAATTGGTATCTCCAGCTTTAAACTTATTAGAAAGTCATAGTTCCCCCAAATCTACTGCAATATGCATCTGTAAAGCACAATATATTTCCAAATGTAGGTTAAGAGGGTAAACTGGGTAGCAGTCTTTGCACAACGGGAGCTTTGGTAGAACATCCTTGTGCAAGGTTCCTCTCTGTGTTCATGCCAACTCGGTCAGGCTGACCTGCTTTTTTATAATCTGTCACGAACCAACACTTCTCCTTGCCTTCTATGCATTCAGCTTTCAAAGAAATTAAAACTGGCAGACCTGTCATTCCCAGAACAATGGCTAGTGCTAACGGACACAGAAACATGGGCATGATCAGCATTGAATAATCCCTGACAATTTTCCTTTCTGTGCTAGCCTGTCCCTTGTAGACCTCTCTACTATGTTTGCTGACTCACAAATCCTTCCGTGCAGCAGACTTAAGACTTTATTATAAATACACTAATAACCTGAGCTGTTGCTACTGCTGGCTGCTAATCTCCTGCTTGGGGCACTGATAATAATGAGTTCTTACATTCCTTTATTTTCCATGAGGGAGAGCTAAACTGAATGGATTTTTTAATCGGACATCTGCCCTGTAGGATTCTACAGCTACTTATTCCCACTTCCACTTTCTGGGGAAGGGACAGATTGCCTCGGTTATTTTGCTTGCGGGCAGAAGAAAGTCCCTCCTTTGTCAGTGTGAATTGCGTTATTCAGCAAGAACTGCTGCAGTTACTTATTTTGAAGGGCCGCTGTACTTAACACAAGTGCTCAGGGAACACGGATCTGCGACTCGATGGCGTGTCAGAAGCACAGCAGCCTTCTCTCCGTGCCTTTTAACATGAGCAATATGAACAGGACACAGAGCTGGCCCTGCATCCTGGCGAGAGACCACAACCAGTTCAGGAAGGAGGCTGGGACTGGAGCTGAGCACAATCAGGGAGGAGGAAGTCACACAAAACCCCTCGCCAGCAGAAGGTCATCCTAGCTTCCCCATTCATACTTTCATTCTGCAATGCTAATCGAGAAAGCTAATTATATATAAGCCAGGGCTCACACTGGAAGGAATCACAAAATTAGAAAGGCCTCCCACCCCCTCACACTTCTCTGTTCAGCCCTAGAGTATTATTAATCTCCTAACACCCTTTCAGTTTAATTCAGTCATGGCAAGCACATGTACAAATTAGACTTCTGCTCCCTAATTTGCACATGCTCCTGCGTCTTGAACATTAAGTCTTTACAGATCATTTAGGGAAAATTGGTCAAAATTCAATAACAAATCGTGCTGCCACTACAAAAGGCAGTTGCTGCAAAACCTCTGCTTTCCTTGGGTACATGTTGATTTTCACATGTTAGCTTGTGAAAGAGCCCTCAAAACATGATTTCTAAAATATTAAATAAAGTATTAAAAATTAAAATATTAAATGAATTAATAATAAACTTTAAAAATGTAAATATTCTACTTTGGCTTTATGCCCAGGAAATATATATTTATATATACATAAACTTGTGCGTTTTAATTCAGAAGTAATAGGATTGATACCCTAATTACTGCTAAGCTGCTGTGTGCTGTGCTGTGTTGCATGCCTGAGGTGGGGAAGGGGAAACCACTCATGAACCATTTCCCTGGGACTATCTGCATGTTGCATCTATCATTTTGTATGCACTGAAACTTGTTTGTTATCAGAACTACAATCTGAGAGGCTACAGCTGCTCAAACCCAGCATGACAAAAAAAGTAAAAGAAAATCTTCCCACAGTAAGCATGAAGGCACTACTGAACCAACCTCCTTATTTAACAAATGTACTCATGAAACACCATCGTGTAAGAGCAGGATTAAATACTGTACACTCTGTTCTTTAAAGCTCAATCAGACAATAACAATATAATCCCTCATGCCACCATAATTTTCCTTTAGTATCAGCAGTTCCTCAGATCATTCCTATTCGCTTTGGCCTGGCTGCTCTGCTACTCCTGTTTAAAAAATAAATTGAAATCTCTCTTTCCAATATATCAAACAAGTAAGAGATAATCAAAGCCAGATATGTCTGGAAACTCACCAAGGAATGTTTGCTAGAGAATTGAAAAAATCTTTTTGGCTGAATTATCCCAATTTCCTGTTGCAGCTGCTGTGATCCAGGAAATCCCCCCACCCATACAGCTGGTTCCCCTTTCAGCCAAAGGATGCAAGTGCCAATGTGTTGTTCCATACGTTGTGCACACCACACCCATTTGTGTAAAACCTTGGACAGGCTTAGAGGGAGTTAACAGATGGACAAAATCAGTTGAGATAAATCAGGAGATATTCAGGATCGTACCTATAAAGAAACCTCCTGTTTCTGCTAATTGATAATCTTGCGATAAATTCTAGGCAGGTAGCAGAAAGGTGAATTGTGTAACCGTGGAGCCACTGATAACATCCAGTGTGACTCAGAGCAAATAAAGGAGAAGTTTTTCCTCAGAAGCAGAGAAAATATTAGCTGTGTAGGAATCAGTCCTGTCTATGAGGGCCATGGACACAAAGGTCAGTGTGCTGAACAGAATCGCCTTTCATAGCCTAGTCTGGATGAGGAAAATGGTTGTGAAGTGCATTCAGCATATGGGAAATAAAACACTACGGAAGATCCCCCAGAGCTATTCTCCCAGACTGTGGGCAAGCAAAGGAATTCCCCAAATCTCCTGCTCAGCACAAAGCTCATCTGATGGACAGAGCTTTGTGTGAATATGTTATTTGCATAAGTAGGATAAGGATAGAAAAATTAAAGGTCTAATTATGCCACCATAAAAAAAGATATCCACAGTGGGACCAAGCAAGCAGCTAGACTGTGGACTGTGATGGTTTGGGCAGAGAAGCCAAATAAGTTTCCACCCACGAAAGCTCACATCATGCTTCATCCTGCAGCTAGAAGGGTGCACGGAGCTAGTGAGTAGCTGCTTCTGCGATCGAATTAGTAACCTTTGTGAGCAGGATGTAAGGAATAGGTGAGCAATAATCTCTTAAACCACTCCTGCAAAACCTAACAGAGCTTCTCTCCCAGGACTCTAAAAGTTTTGGCACAGAGAAAATGCACCAAAGCTTTTCTTGCTGCAGTGAGTGCCTTTCCAAGGCAGAGCAATGCACAACCAGCAGTTACAGGCCTCACCCCACCAAGATGTTCTGCAACTGAACTGGGTGATTTCATTGCTGATCTGAGCAACTGGGAAACAATAACCTGATATGGCCCCTGACCCCAAAAGCAGCTGCATTTGCTCAGCCTCACGAAGCCGAGGAACAAAGGGCTCCCCGCACACAAAGGGGCCATGATGAAACTGCTACAGGCCCATCTGCTCAGACGTGATTTCTGTGGTGGAGAAAATAGGAGAGGAAGGGAGAAAGCCCTTAACGTGCAAACCTTTTGGGGTTTTAGTCTGAATCCTTCACAGCATGTGATTGAGGTTGCCATAGTAATCCTCAGCCTTTTGGAATAAAGGTAGAACTGGAGCAACGTGGAAGGTGGCGGGCATGCTCATGGCAGGCCTCCCACAGCTGCCTGGGCCCTGCAACCGCCTGCAGCATCAACGGACAGGCACATGCATCACATCAAGATTTCTTGGGGGGGGTAAAAGGATTGCTACAACTACTTAGTACAACTAAAAAGTGTCTTTTAGGCACAAATTCTTATTTTGAAGCCTCTTATCCCAAAGTCTACCAAGCCACCTCCTCACATTGGAGAGGGGCAGGAACAGAGGCTGCTTGCTCAGCACAGGCAGTCGACAAAGCTGGGCCTTTAGGGCAGGTCTGGGCCTCACAGCAGCCATGCTTGGGAGCTTCAGAGTGGAAAATTATAAACCTGGGATCTAGTCCCACACTGTGATGAAATCAATGAAGTTTGATGCTACCTTCAGGCAACAGGGCTGAATTCTGGATGGGGGGGAAAAAAAACAACATCCCCCCCCCCCCCCCCCCCCACA